TGCGGAGAAAGCCACAGGCTTGTGGATGTGGGGGTGCAGTTCAGGTTGGGGTGTAGGAGGGACTCAGGGCAGGGAGGCTGGGAGTATGAGGGGCTCAGGACTCAGATTTGCAGTGTGGGGTCACACAAGTAAGATACAAAAAAACAACCCCTCCAAAACCTCCCAAGCCTCACTAATGTGGCCCCAACTGTGCTGGTGGGGGCAGTGGACAGGGTGTTGGGGCAGGGTATTCATGAGGTAGGGGGGTCTGGCCGGGGGGAAGGGACAGAGGCAGCAGGGAGCAAGGCTGGGAGTATGAGGGGCTCAGGACTCAGATTTGCAGTGTATGGTGGTGCAGGAGTGTTGTGGCAGAAGACTAAGGATGTGGGGCTGCAGGAGTTTGGGGATGAGAGAGGCTCAGGACAGGGGGTGCCAGTGTATCATAGGCTCAGGTTTGGAGTCTGGGGGGTTGCAGGAGTGTTATGATGCTGTGGCTAGATGGGGGCTTGGCCCCAATTGGGGCCTTGTTGGCGAGGCTTCATTTTTAAATAAAATATTATGTCAAACTCAAAAGGTTTCAGCGTTGTCTTTATATATGAGAGGGGCGGGGAACCTGATTTGAGTCAGGGGTCACTGACCCTCAGAAAAGGGTGAGATGCAAAAAACAACCCCCCCAAGTCTCACTAATTTGGCCCCAACTGTGCTGGTGGGGGCAGGGGACAGAGTGCTGGGGCAAGGTGCTGGGGCGGTGGCAGGGTGCTGGTGGTGGGGGGTTTGGCCACGGGGAGGAGACAGGGACAGCTCGGCTGGTACCTGGAGATCCCAAGTCTAAGGAAGCGCGTGGGCTGGTCTTCCCCTCCCTTCTCCTCCCAGAAATAGCTGGCGCGCTTCCTGAAACACCGGGTCTGTCGCTGGGCTGGGGACTTCCTCCCCACCGCTGGCTGCCTGTGCAGGGGGTGTGTGTGTAGGAATCCTGGGGCTGCATGCCAGCTCCAACTTCTGAGGAAGCGCGTGCTCTTCCTCTGCTCCCCATGACAGCTGTGTGCTTCCTGAGAAGTTGGAGCTGGCATGCAGTACTGGGATTCCTACTCTCCGCCCCCCCCACTCTAGCCCAATCCCCATCCGCTCCTCTCCCCCAGAGCCAGCCCACCCCTGCTCTAACCCAATTCCGCCCCCCCCGCTCTAACCTAATCCTCCTCCCTCTCCTTCCCCAGAGCCAGGCACCCCCCACCCCACTCTAACCCGGGTCCTGGAGCTGCCGCCACTGCTGCCACCGCTACCACCACACGCCTCTCGCTGCAGGCGCAGGGCACGTGCACTGAGTGGCTGGCCGTTAGCATGCGCTGGCCGGGATGCTGAGCGTGAGGGGCAGGGGGCGTGAGCGTGAGCATAAGCAGTGCAGTGGCCGAGCAGTACATCTCGAAAGAACAGCTACGAGAGGCAAGTAACCGTTTTTTCTTACTCAAATGTGCATTCCAACAGGTGACTCCCAAGCAGTTTACCGGGAGGAGGGATCAGAAGTCACTGAGCTGCTGCCTGAAGAATTGCTCTGCTAAACGCCATGTCATCCCCTGCCTGTTGGCTGAGGGCAAAGTGTAATGCGAAGGTGTGAACAGACAACCATGTCACAGTCCTGCAAGTGTCCTGAATGGGGATTTGCATGAGGAACGCTGCTGAGGATGCCTGTGCTCTGGTGGAGTGAGCTGTCAGTGCCAGAGCTGGGACCTTGGCCAGGTCATAGTAGGTCCTGATGCAGGACATGATCTGCGAAGGCTGGGGGAGGACTCACAATAGTGCCAAGGATGGCACCGCTTATTGCACCATGGTCAGTGCCAATTCGGACATGCCGCAGCAGACTGGGTCAGTGCTCAGGATAGGCCACGGGAGGGTGAGCCCTCATGGCAATTAAGTACCGAGCCGCTACATAAGTGTCATGCATAGAGGGAAGGTCTAGATCTCTCCCGTGAACAAGAGAGTCAATTGATAATGGACTTGGCAGCCCTGCCTTTGGGGCTGGGGTGGACGATGCTGGGACATCTGTACCCTCCTTGTGGTGTTCTGAAGAGGGACCCACCACACTGGGATACTTGCTGATGTTCTTGGCTGCAATAAGTCGCAAACTCCAGCACCACACAAGAGGAACAAGCAGCCACTCGCCAGCCACTAAGAGAACTGAGAACAAGAGAAAGAGGTTGAGCCCTCACAGGAAACCTATCAGTACTAAAGGCTAAGTATACGCTAAACTACTATGACATTGAACTATGTACAACTGGAACAGCTAGGGATGTCTTGTGAAGCAAGAGATCGAACACTTCAATGACAGTCATTGGTGGTAAGAAGTAACTAGATGGGTGGAAGGTCGGCATGGCCCTACATACGTTGCCATAAAGGTGTCACTCCGAGGGACTCCACAGCCGACATGACTGGTACGGCTAGGTGAAAAACCTGGTGGTCACGTATATGGTGTGCACATACACCTATTGGAATGCGCATAAGCAAGCGCTTGAAGAAAAATCGATAAACGTCAATATAACACAAAATGGTATTTCATTTCAAAAGCTATTGGGGCTGAAAATGAAACTATTTATGAACTGCTATGACTGCATTTATGCAGGAAAAGAGAATGTGAAAACTACAGAGAAGGAAAAGGAAAAAAGAAAACGTGTCAGCTACTCACCTTACCCCCCTCAACCCACCTACCCAGGGTTAAAGTTAGTTTCAGATGCATAAATCTGAAACACTCAGCAGTTCAAATATAGTTTCAAATATTTTACTTTGGTCTCTTTTAATGATGTATATCTTTTTCCTCTTTTATCTGTTGTAAGAAGCACAAAAATATGACCGTAGTAATATGTGCAACAGCTTTTGTGTAGTGAAATAGTTTTATAGTACCACATAAATGAAAGCATTTGTCACTAGTAATGCATTAACATGTCTCTCTGAGCTCTAAGTCTGGACTCACTATATCAAATAAAACTGCCCTCTACCAAGCATTTTCTTTCTAGAAAATTAATTGGTATTTCAATTTTTTCATTCGTAGTTTAGTCACACCCCAATCCTTACCCCTGCCAATTGCCATCTTCACATGAAGTATGCAAGTAATTTTATAAAATCGATTTTCTAGTTTTTAATCAGTAGACCACAGAACGAGTACATCACATTTCCTCTGCAAAAAGCCTGACTCCCTTGTCTGTGTGAGATAGCTTTCCTCCTCCTCTGGAAGGCTCCTCTTGTACCAGAGGATGCATATGATTTTATCTTATGAAAACATCACATTCAATAGCATTAATTTATATGTATAGAGAGCACCCTTCATCCCCAAAGACACCAATGAACTTTATAGGCTCACCTCCTCTGTAAACACACACTGTATAAGTAAATACTCCCATAGCAACAAACAAGCGTCCGCCACTGAAATGCACCTCTTGCATGCATTCCCAGCACGTTCTTTCCAAGTCAGTTTTCCATGCCTGACATCATGGGATGAGGAGTTTTATGAGGAGGGGCGGAGTTTGGGATGGAGGTTAGGTGCAGAAAGGAACTTGGCATGGAGGGGATGTGGGATCTGGGAGAGAGTTTGGGTGCAGGAGGGGGTTGTGAGTTGGAGCAGAGCGAGTTTGGGATGGAGGTTAGGTGCAGAAAGGAACTTGGCATGGAGGGGATGTGGGATCTGGGAGAGAGTTTGGGTGCAGGAGGGGGTTGTGAGTTGGAGCAGAGCACTGAGGTATAGGAGGGGGTTCAGGGTCTGGGAGGGGGTTGTGACTTGGGGCAGGAGTGTAGGAGGGGGTGCAGGGTTCTGAGTTGTGACTAGAGGATTGGGGTTGCAAGGTCTAGGAGGCATTATGGGTGCAGAAGCAGGGGTGCAGAGTGTTTGGGTTACATGGGAGAGGTGGGGCAGAGCATTGGGGGAAGGGAGGTGCTGGAGTGCCAGAGGCAGGCTCCGGACAGGAGAAACTTACTTGGGCAGCTGCTAGACAGCAGCCCAGCTGGTTCCTCTGGTTTCAGGGGTCATGTGTGGCTGACTCTGAATGCTGGAAGTCCGGAGGGGGAGGGTACTTAGTGCACTGCCAGGCAGCTCCCATTGAGTAAAAACTGGCCAAAGGGAGCTGCAAAATTTTGCTGGGGGTGGGGGCAAAACCTCTCCCGGGCTTGCAGTGTTCAGGGAGATGCTTTGCGTGCAGAGAGAGGGAGGGGTGGCAGGGAGCCTGGTGGAGGCTCCTGTAGGCTAGATCTGGCCGCGTGGTGGCTGGACCTACCCATGGGCCATATTTTGTCTGCCTCCCCCCCTTATACTGTAATATGATGTGATTTAAAGGCATGGCAATAACCTTGCTAGAAAAGTCGTGGGAATATATACAAGCAACTAAACGACTATAGAATCTAGATGACTAAAGCTTCCTGGGCATCATGCCATATAGGTTAAATGGATGCGAAGTTACATTTGTGGTGAATTGCACCTCCATTCACCTTCTCTGTCCGTGTTCATACAGCCCCCAATTCACTAGCAGGCACTTGTTTATACAAGCGAGAGATGGTCATTACCAACAGTCCTGCCGGCCTCATGATGAAAGTTTAAGAAGAACAGTGTAACAAACCAATGCTTCTCAGCAAGAAATAGGGTCCTAGAAATGCGAGGGAGAGGAAGGTGGATACAGAGGAGATTGATCTCATGACCTACCTGAGACACCTTTTTGATGACCTCACTGCCCACGCTAAGACCCTGGACATAGGAGCGCACTGCGATGAAGGCTCTGGTCGCTTTCAACTTCAGGTCCCTCGGGACTTCTCCAAAGGGCTTGTGCTGCTCGGAGTGTTTCCCCAGGCAGTCCAGGTACTCGTCTGTGATGTGGTACTGTGGATTCATCAGCTTGAAGAGGCGCTCCAGCAGGCGTGTCCAGAACTCATTGAGGGCCTCTTCTAGGTTGATGTTGGACCCCCGGTAATAGCGTCTCAGCTCGCTGTACAAGTCCTTGAAGAGCTTGATGTTCTGATTGTACAGCTCTCCATACATACCAGGAAAAGTATCATAAAGGGCCTTCTCTGACTTATTCAACAAGTCCTGGAAATAACCTGCAGAGAGAGGGAAAGCAGAGGGTGATAGATCAGCAGGAGAACTAAATATCTCTAATAGGCTAATCTAAAGACACCTACTTTGTTGCACCACTCAGTAGGCTGAGAAAAAGGACCCTCGGACAACCTTTCTTCTTCTCTTCTGACTGACCACCTCTCACCCCCACAATTTTAGGTCTTGAGCTGTTGATAAAGGGGCAGAAGCTAGTACACTCCACAACCAGCACATAAGAATGGTCTGCTGCCACCTTGCTCCTTCCATAAGAACAGCCATACTGGGTCAGATGAAAGGTCCACCTAGCCCAGTATCCTGTCTGCCGACAGTGGCCAATGCCAGATACCCAATAAGAATGAATAGAACAGGTAATCATCAAGTGATCCATCCCCTGTTGCCCATTCCCAACCCCTAACAGACAGAGGCTAGGGACACCATTCCTGTCCATCCTGGCTAATAGCCAGGGATAAGCGTACCCTCCATGAATGTATCTATCTCTTTTTTGAATCTTGTTAAAGACCTGGCATTCACAACATCCTCTGACAAGGAGTTCCACGGGTTGACTATGCATTGCATGAAGAAATACTTCCTTTTGTTTGTTTTAAAGCTACTATCTAATAATTTAATCTGGTAACCCCTAGTCTTGTGTTATGGGAAGGAGTAAATAACTCTTCATTATTTAACTTTCTTTATACCAGCCATGTTTTTATAGACCTCTATCATATTCCCCCTTATTGTCCTCTTTTCTAAGATGGAAATTTCCAGTCTTATTAATCTCTCCTCAGATCACAGCTGTTCCATATCCTTTATAATTTTGTTGCCCTTTTCTGAAACTTTTCCAATGACAAGATATCTTTTTTGAGATGAAGCGATCATATCTGCAGGCATTTTTCAAGATGTGGGCGTACCGTGGATTTATACAGAGGTAATAAATTATTCTCTGTCTTATTTCTCTATCCCTTTTTAAATGTTTCCCAACATTGTTTGCTTTTTTGACTGCCACTGCACATTGAGTGGATGTTTCCTGTCTTTTAACCAGTTACCAATCCATGAGAGGACCTTCCCTCTTACCCCATGACTGCTCCACAACATCTAAAAACAACATCAAGTGCAAGCTCTTCAACCAGAAACTAAAGATCATAGGCTTCTCCCCATGCCTTATGAGCATTGACTTATGAATATGCATAACTCAAAGATGCTTTATAAAAAACAGATCACGTAACATATCATTTTTAATGTTACAATCTGCTGAATGTATATATCCTATTTTTGTGCATGTATCATTCTTATATGTGAAGTTATAAATACAAAGTGTGAATCTGTCTGCAGTGCTAAATGTGCTAATAAGAGCCATTACCCCTGCTCCAGAAACATAATGACTCAGTACTCAAACCAATGAGCTGTGGATGGTCATGTTTGTCCTGTAAGCCCAAACAGCGTTTGGTCTTAGAAAGACATGTGTCCAAGCCACTTGGTACTAGACTCCATCTTGAGCCTGGTATTTTTCCTTGGGGATAGATCGGAGGTGCTGAACAAAGAATTCCCATCCTGGGGAAAAGTTTATTTAAGCAATTGGAAGCAATCAACTTTTGTCTTCAACTGGCCTTTGAAATCGCTGTTAAAAATCCTCTTAGCATGGGACAGGCAAAGAACTGAAAAGATATAGACCCAGGTCAGAGTAAAGATCAACTCTAACTTGAAGTTCTTTACCTAAGATAAGAACTGTTGTTCAGGATAAGAATTTGCATGTAAGAAGTTCCTTAGGGTATGTCTACACTACCACCCTAGTTCGAACTAGGGTGGTTAACATAGTCAATCGAAGTTGCAAATGAAGCCCGGGATTTAAATATCTCGGGCTTCATTTGCATCTTGCCGTGCACCGCCATTTTTAAAGCCCCGGTAGTTCGGACTCCATGCCCGCAGCTACACGCGGCACGGAGTAGGTAGTTCGAATTAGGCTAATTCGAACTACAGTACACCTCGTTCCACGAGGAGTAACGGTAATTCGAATTAGAAAGCCTAATTCAAACTACTTATTCCGTGCTGCGTGTAGCCGCGGGCACGGAGTCCGAACTACCGGGGATTTAAAAATGGCGGCACCCGGCAAGATGCAAATGAAGCCTGGAATATTTAAATCCCGGGCTTCATTTGCAACTTCGATTGACTATGTTAACCACCCTAGTTCGAACTAGGGTGGTAGTGTAGACATACCCTTAGTGGATTAGAATTAGCTAAGTGTTTTTGTTCATTTTAATTTAGTAACCTACTTTGATCTGACTGTTTTCTCTTGCAACTACTTAAATCCAACGTTTGTACTTAAATGACTTCTGTTTATTATCAAGCCCTGGGTAAATAATGAAGGATACACTACAGACAGACTCACACTTAGTATTTATAACTTCACATACAAGAATCATACATGCACAAAAAGAGGATATATACTTTCCGCAGATTGTAACATTAAAAATGATATGTTTCATGATCTGTTTTTATAAAGCATCTTTGAGTTATGCATATCCATAAACCACTGGGCATATATCACTTTCCCTGATAAAGTGGAAGAGCTTTATAAGCTTTCTCTGTGCAAAACTTTTATACAAAGTAAAACAGATTTATTTGGGATTCTGGTCCCATTTGAGAGTTGGTTTCCTGGCTGCCGAGCACTTAGAGTTGACAAGTGGTTAAAACATTTGTATTTGAGAAAAGACACAAAGCAGGAATTAAATTACTCTCTTATCCTTGATGACACAAACAACAGATGACAGCTAATTTTATGTTTTTAAAAACCCTGTTGCCACAGTGCTTGTGCAGTTAAAGCTGAAGTCGTGTTTTCTTTCAAAGAATTTGTAGGATTCTTAAATATTGAGGCACCAAACAGCAAGATATTTAAGCAAGGACTGAACTTTAAGCAGATGTGTAATCTCTTCCTCGTTTGCAAATCACCGAAGCAAGTACTCCCATGAGTAGTAATTTTAGTGCTGACTTCAGTGCGACTAACGGAGTTGAGTAAAGCCACCAGCATTTGACCCTCAAGAAGTAAACTACTGCAGAAACTCTCATTCGCTTCCAGAAGATTTAACAAATATTTGTTTAGTAATGCACAGAAAGCAGGTTTGCACATTCAAGCTAAATGACTGAGGCTGCTAGACAGTCACACAGTTGTCAGGTAAACACTGGAAGTAGGGCACTCTATAAATGCATGAATTAAGGAATATTTGATAATGGATCCTATTAAGGGAAAAATCAATATCATGTTAATGATTTAAAAAAGGAAGTTTTCTTTTTCAAAGTTACTGACATTAATTAGGTTAGATATTTAGAAAAACTTTCTAACTTATGTAAGGACGGTTAAGCTCTGGAATAGGCTTCCAAGGGAGGTTGCCGAATCCCCTTCACTGGAGGTTTGTATTGACAGGCTAGACAAACAGACATGCTCCAGGTTTACTTGGTCCTGTCTCAGTGCAGGGGTCTTTAAATGCCATTAAATGGCACCCGAGCGTTCCAGAAACAGAAGATGAAGCCTATCTCCAGCTCAGGTAACAGGAAAGTGTGGATAAACAACGAGAAGTCCTGTGGCACCTTATAGGCTAACAGATTTATTGGAGCATAAGCTTTCATGGGCAAAGACCCACTTCGTCAGATGCATGTAGTGGAAATTCCAGAGGCAGGCATAAATATAAAGGCACATGAAAAAAAAGGAGTACCAATCAAGAGGAAGGCCAGAGATAACGAGGTCAATCAGGAAAAGTGTGGGTAATCCTGCAATTACTCTTTTGGGAATACAAGTGGGGCACCTAAAATACCAGCCTTCCCATTTCTATGCCTCATTTTTCCATTTCATTCAAAAGATTGAACCTCCTGCACCAACCATCTCCTCCTAGCACTATGCCAGAAGAGCGACTGAGTGGTTACTGGAGGGAAAATTCCCACCTCCCGAATTGTCACCCCCACCTTGTTTTCCCCTGAGAAGTCTCCTATCCATCCAGCTACAGTCCAGGCTGGACACTGCTCACGTTCGGAGACCTAACAAGATCACTGTGCAGTGTAGCATGTTCAAGTCACACAGCATGGTGACACATACCAATGTCCCTGAACGGGATGGAGCCCTTACTTGCCAGAGAGTGCAATTGTTCAGGGCAGCACTTGTCCTTAACCAGCTGGGGATATCTCGCCTCCTCCTCTCGCTACACAAAAGTGCTAGCTGCTCCTCTGCGTGTGACTTTAATAGAATGTCTCTTTGGTACTTGTGTGATCAGGCTGATTTCCTTTCTCTCTGTTTTTTTGCTTCTACCATCTATCTAACAAGTGTCCCTGTGGAGTTTCAGGTCACACCGTTTGATAAGTGTCTTCTGTATTCTGTGACCCCTGGGGCCGGATGGGCAACAGAGAATTGCGGTCGGTCGGAGATTTCTCTCTATAAAGAATGTGCAAATGGAGTACCCATGTGGCACAAGCCATTTATAAGAAGGGATCTACAACTGTGGCTTAACAAAGCAATCCACCCCCTGGTACACACACAGAGGTTACAGGCCATCCTGTATTAGTTAGTGTTCTGTGTGCAATCGCTTTGACAAGAAGAAATATTGCCAAGTCCAGAGAACTCAGGAGCTCTGGTAATTAGGCCTCCAAAGCGCAGTTGACTAATGGGCACCTTAGCACAGGCTAGAAATAACTACTTGTAGAAGAAATACGGGGCACAGGAGTGAGTGTGGTGATAAGAAGCATGCACTCCCAAACCCACCAGACATGGGCTGTGAGGAGTCTCAGGCTCCTGTGCGGGATGAGTCGTACCACAATCCAATGGGGCAGTGCTGTGCCAAGGCTGCAATCAGACACAGATGCGCCTGAGGATTGGAAAGGGGCAGTTGCTAGCCAGCCAGCTAGACAAACTGGAAAGCAGCACCATTTCAATGTAATTGGCCCTGGCACTCATGCAAAGCTGGGACATTCCCATGGAATTAAGCTATCTGGCCACTCTAATGTTTGGCTTTGCCTTAGCAGAGTC